CATCCACAGAGCAGAGATAACAGATACACTTCTGATCAGTGCGGCAGAACATCTTCATCACCTCATCATGCTTAGAGCAGATGTTCTCCTGGAGGTTCTTGGACGGCTCCACCAGCTTGTGTTTCTTTAAAGGAGCCACTTCATAATGAGGCTGAAGGTGTTTCTCACAGTAAGAGGCCAGACAGAATAAACAGGACTTGATGGCTTTCAGTTTTTGTCCAGTGCAGAAATCACAGGCCACATATCCAGATCCAGCAGAGCAGAGATCAGCAGGAGCAGCTTGGAGTCCAGTCTTCTTCAGCTGCTCCACTAAAGCTGCTAATATGGTGTTTTTCTCTAGATCAGGCCTTTGTGTGAAGATTTTCCCACACTGAGGACAATGATAGTTCTTCTTCTGCTCACCTTCATCCCAGAAGCTTTTAATACAGTTCATACAGTAGCTGTGTCCACAGGAAGTCGTCACCGGATCCGTCAGTAGATCCAGGCAGATCGAACAGGAGAAAGTTTCTCTGTCCAGCTGAACTGTTTGCTGCGCCATTTTTCCTCTCACTAACAACGACTGTGTGAGTTTCACTTCATGAGAACAGAAACTAGTTTGAGCTCTGAGCTACCAATCAGGTTTCAGTGCAGAGAGGCAGCAGCCAATCAGCTTTCACCTTCAGCATGTGTTGGCTCCACCCAGTTTCAAGTTTCAGATCAGGAAGGGAGAAAACAAGGAAACCTGGAAATAAAGAGGAGCTGCTGGTTTTAAATGCAGGAAGAAAAAGGAGGATTTTCATGGACTGATTCCAGGAAGAGGACTGGTTTGAGATTAAAACAATAAACAATTTTATTCTGTTCAGTTCAGTTCAGAAAAGTGTATCTATAATTTATTTAACATCAGATAAGATAAGAAATCTTAAATAGAAACTCAGAGTAATGGTGCTAAAGAACAAACAGAAATGGTTTAAATGCTTTGCAATTTGAATTAAAAAAAATCTGAATTTGATTTTCTCGAGATTTGTAGATATTAACTTGCAATTAATAAATCAATAAATGGCAGAAAGATCCTTTCCACATCAGCCAGTATTTCCAGGAATGTGAAAATAAACATATTAAAGACAATCCTGCTGCAAGGATCAGCCAGGATCCTGGGA